TTCCAGTAGCACCTTAGAGACCAACTAAGTTTGTTATTGGTATGAGCTTTTGTGTGCATGCACATTTCCACGAAAGCTCATACCAATAACAAACATAGTTGGTCTCTAAGGTGCTACTGGAAGGATATTTTTTATTTGTTTGACTACGGCAGGTTACAGCAGTTACCTACCTGTAACTAAACTCCCAAAACAGACAGGGGGAAAGGGGAAGGAGGATAGTTTCCCAGGTTTTCCTGCTTCCCTTTGCAAATTAGCATCCCTCTGGTGCTCACCAGCTCAGGACAAGAAGGACCTAGTCCTAGCTAGAGGCTTCACCCAGAGCTGAGACCCTGGCGAGCGCCCCCCACCCCATTAACTACGGCCCTGCTCCTCACCACTGTAATTGCTGCTTGCTAGCTAGCCTGTTAAGGGTGGCGTTGTGGGTTAAACCAGAGCTTAGGACTTGCTGATCAGAAGGTCGGCGGTTCGAATCCCCACGACGGGGTGAGCTCCCGTTGCTCGGTCCCTGTTCCTGCCAACCTAGCAGTTCGAAAGCATGTCAAAGTGCAAGTAGATAAATAGGTACTGCTCCGGTGGAAAGGTAAACGGTGTTTCCGTGCGCTGCTCTGGTTCGCCAGAAGCGGCTTAGTCATGCTGGCCACATGACCCGGAAGCTGTATGCCGGCTCCCTCGGCCAGTAAAGCGAGATGAGCGCCGCAACCCCAGAGTTGGTCATAACTGGACCTAATGGTCAGGGGCCCTTTTACCTTTATCTTTAGCTAGCCTGTTCTCCTCTTCCCATCCTTTCCTGGTATCTCCCAGAAATTCTGTTCACAGGAAGAAGGAGTGGAAACGGTGGAGGAAACAGCAGAGTTAGGAGGCTCCAATATCTTATGTTAGGGCACTTTGGAGCAGAGGAGGAGGGAATGTTATTCATGTCATTGAATGCTCCATTGTCTTTTGCAGGCTCTGCTTTTTTACACAGATGCCTTAAGTAACGATGATGCGAAATTGCAGCAAGCCGCATGTCTGGCCCTCAAAAACCTCAGAGTGAGTATTTTTAAATTCTTGCTAAGTGGGGTCGTTAAGAGAGGTGCATGTGCAGAGTCACAGGCAGCCAGGAGAGGGCGCGAGAGTCACCAAAAAACATGATCATTGTACAGTATTGGAAACTGGAACACAGGGAGGACATAAGAAAACACATACATACATGAAAATGAGTGTTGCTAAAGGGTGACCCTGGTTGAAAAACCACCTTGAGATGTATGGATAAAGGGTGGTACACAAATTTAATTAATAATAATAATAATAATAATAATAAATGCTACAGATTATTTATGATGATTATTTATTAAATCTCCAATTTATTAGATCTCCAGTGCCACAGTCTATCCATCCGTCTGAGTCAGTGCATTGATGTAAAGAGTTAGGAAGCATTCTGAAATAATTTAACAGCTGCCCCTGCACTCCTTCTTTTATATAACAGGGTGTGGAAAGCATAGAACAAATTGCCAGACTGTGTCTATCAGAATCAGAGGAAGTGCGGAACGCCGCCAGAGAAACGACTCTTTCGTTTGGTAAGTGCTTATAACGATTCCCTGCAGATGGATTTTCGAATGAGCGGATAGTGAGCTGAAAAGCAGAAGCAACAGCCAGTTGGCCTTGGCTTAGAGAGGCATCCCCGCTTGCTTTGAGGAAGTGGTCTCCTGCCGCAGATCTTCTTTTGCCCTCAATTCCCAGCACTGTTCTTGTGACAGATTTCTGGGAAAAGAGCACGGCACAAATGGCTCTTGCAAGGGAAGGACACACCGACAGAAACCCTCCACCCCATTCCTACAAAACTCTGTGTCTTGTTCCTGCAGCACCAACCACCTCTGCCCCTTTTTCTTCATGAGAATTGACTTTGGCCTGCACCCTGAAGCCTTGTTAAATCATTTCAGCTCCCTGTCCACCCTTATTCAGCTTTGTAAATTGCTCTGGGTATTATATACTGCTTAAAAACCTACGCTTGGTTCTGATGCATCAGACCAATGGTCCATCTGTTCCAGCATCCTGTTGCCACAGCGGCCAACTAGATGCCCGGGAAGCCCCAAGCAGGACCTGAGTAGAAAAGCACTCTTCCCACTTGGGGTTCCCAGCAACTACTTCCCATACTGCCTCCAACAGTGGAGGTAGAAGACAGAATGTATCCATAGTGGCTTGTTGCCATGGGTAGATCCTGTGATAGTCATCAACTTCACGGGTTTTAGAAGAAGACTTGGACCTATTCATGGAGGCATGAATAGGTCCAAGTCTTCTTCTAAAATCCGTGAAGTTGATGACTATCACAGGATCCTGTAGGAGCAGGCTCCATGGTTTAACTATAAGAACATAAGGTGAGCCTGGTGGATCAGGCCCATCTGGTCCAGCATTCAGTTCTCACTGGCCAACCAGATGCCCATGGGAATCTCCAAAGCAGGACTTGGAACACCCTTGTGACCTTGAGAGACCTATAGCGAAGGTGGAACAATACAGCCATTGTGGCTAATAGCTATGTGCTGATGTGACTATGTGCTATGTAAAGTAATATTTCCTTGTCTGCCCTGAATCTTCGAACACTGGATATTAGCTACAGTGGTACCTCGCAAGACGAATGCCACGCAAGACAAAAAACTCGCTAGACGAAAGGTTTTTCCGTTTGCGAGTTGCCTCGCAAGACGAATTTCCCTATGGGCTTGCTTCGCAAGACGAAAACGTCTCACGACTTTGTTTCCTTTGTCTAAATAATAATTCGCAAGACGAAAAATTCGCTAGACGACAAAACTTGCGGAACGAATTAATTTCGTCTTGCGGGGCACCACTGTACGTTGGGTGGGCCAGGTTCTAACACTATGTGGGAGGGAGAAACAGAGAAACTTTTCTCTCCATTCTCATACTATTTTTTCTAAATTGAAAAGCCCCCAAGGTTTCATCAATTGAGTTTTGTTCCAGCTACTTGAGTCATTTGGGGGCAGATCCATACCATACACTTAAAGCAAACAACTTCCCTCCCCAAAATCACGAGAACTGTAGTTCCCCCCTACAATTCTCAGCACCCTTAGCAAACTAGAGTTCCCAGGATTCTCTGGGGGAAGTCATCAGCTTGAAATGTGCAGTGAATGTTCCCTCAATCTAAGCCATGGCTCTGCTCTTGAGCTCACCCTTTTCCATACCTGTTCCAGGTCAACAATATCCTTTTTTTGACTTTTGGATATTGCTAGGGGAGCCATTAGGCAGGCCCTAAACCTTTTCTTCATAATAAATTCTTTCCATGTGGTTGTGAAAAAATTGGTCGCAAAATTGTGAAAGAGGGAAGAGTCGTGCGCAAGGAAAACTTTGCTTATCCCACAACGGCAGTCAACCTCCTGATTTGTCCCTTTCTTCACAGGTGACAAAGGAAGGCTGGCTTTTGAAAAGATGGACAAGATCTGCTGTGAGCTGAGGGATACCATGTACCAAGAAGCTGAAATAGAAATCACAGTATTTTAAGCAGTGCCTTTGAGGGAGAGGCCAGATAATCTTGCACCATCTGCAATTCGGCTACAAGAGTGTGGAGAAAAGCACACAAATGTTAAATCTGTCTCGGCTGGATTTAAAAACAAATTATCTCGAGAATGAGCAGAGTTTCCGCACGGTGCAAAATCTCTTTGGGCGACTCTGATCTTATAACCAGAAAGGTACTGTGTAAACCATTAAATAACAGCCTCCCCCTGTCTTCAGTATCACAGGAAACATTCACCCTGAACTAAGAAGGCATCCGAAAATCTTGCACTGAAGTTCTCCATTTGGAGGAGAGGAGACAGAAGCAGCTTCCTTTTTGACTGTGAGATGTTTTCTTAGGAATAACCAAGCTGTTTCAAGCAGGAGAGAAAAAGAAAACCACAAGGATGGGCCACACTGGGATTGCAGTGAGTGGCGTTAATGAAGATTTTGCAGCCCTCTACAACTTCAATCCAACCTGCCCCCCTTTTTTAGGCCATAGGAAAATAACTTGCATATTTATTTGCTTAATATTGTGGACAAGGACTTCCACACAATCTCTAAAGTAATTAGGGACAGTAAATTAACCTGAAATCTTCTTTCAAAGGGACCTTCTTCTGCCAGCGGATGTATTGGGGTCTTAAGATAAGACTGAAAAACATGGGCTTTGTGACCCTAGAGCATTGCAGAGTTGGAAGGAGTTAACAGCTAAAGAATCCTCACCTCTCGCTGGTCACTTCCCACCGTTAAGCCCCTGAACCATTCTTCTAGTATACACACACCAGAATCTAGCGCCAGGAAAAACTGAGAAGCCAGCTATTCCCATGAGTGCTTAATTCTGGGTTTATAATCTTAACCGAGAAGCTGTTTTTAAGTGGACTGTCGCTGCAATGCTAAGCACATTTACATTGATCTTTTACTGAACTTGGTGAGATGCACATTTGAGTAAACAGGTGCAGATGCTGATGAACACCACCTACCATCTTTTTTTACCACTGATGGTGTTGGCAGGAGCTGAATGCAGTTCTGGAGGGGTTCCTTTGCCTCTTGCTAGGACAGAAACGCTTCCATCCCTGTTTGTGTGTGTGTTTGTATGCAGCTGCCCATCACTGGATCCTGGCCCCTTGCTTTAATGTACATATTTTATACAGAACTTTGTGCTTTTTTATTATTAAAAAGAAACACTTTTCAGTATTTATTGCTGGGGCTAGTTTACATATTGTTCTTTTTTAAAGTTTAATAAAATGTTTGAAAAGTCAATTGCATTCTTCTTCCAGTTATAATTTAAAACACAATGCAAAACACAGGACCAGAACAGAGATGCTTTGGAGGAACGGAAGTATTCAGGGAAAATATCAGGCAGTTCCTGGTTCTCTTGCTAATGCACAGTTGCAGTGAACCAAGTCAGGCGACACTGATGTTGTGGGTAGGGAAGGACACAAAGGAGATGGCTTCAGCAGCAATATGAAGTTTAGAAGTTCAGGACTAGAAAGAGGAAGGGGAAGACACTCCAAGAGACATGCTTCTTTACAAAAGAATTTTATTGTTGCAGCTAAAATGAGAACTGAAAATCTTTATGGGAAGTTGAAAAACTGTACAGTTTTTTACTGAAACTGTGAGGTCATTGCAGCGCCTTACACAAAAGACAATATACCTGAAAACGTATTATACCAAAACATTTAGCTTGTTCGTTGTTTTTTTTAAAAGATTTTTATTTTATTTTTCTTAAAAAAAACTTTTCTATGGCAATCTGTAAAAAAGAAAGACCTGATGAGTATATATTTGCTTAAGGCATATAGCAGAGCAGCTCACTAACTTTCTAACAAGTTTAAACATGGATATTTTTTTTTCCGGCCCCCACTTCCCACCCCACCCCTGCCCCCATCCCAAGAATAGGTTAACCAATACATCCACTTCGAAATGCTACTTGTATTTACACACCCAAACTACTACATACATAGACAGGACACCAAAACAAAATGCTTACAAGTTCAGCATTATAAGCCTTATACACACCTCACCGGGCTTTTGACTAGGGCAATTCCACTGCGTGTTTTCACTACAGTACGAGTCCTTCTCGAGTTCAAATAGGATAAAAAGGCAAATCACTAATACTGGCAAACCCAGGAGAGACGTGGTAGCCAGTCCACCCTCCCCGTATCTCTGGCTAGCAAGGGAGATCTTTAGTTTCTTCCTCGCTGAAGGGGATAGACATAACAGTACAATCAAGTCACTGTGGATTTTAAGGAGAGACATTCTGAATTCAACCATTCCCCCCACACAAAAAAACCAACAAGCCCAAGGAATAATATTACCATTCATTTATCACCTGCTGCTACGTTCAAGAGCTTTGATTTTCATATCCTCTATATAACAACAAAGCGCAGATTTCAAATCTCACTTTGGTTCTGATGGCCTATGCAAAAGAGAGAGAGAGAGAGAGAAAGAGAGAGAAAGAAAAGCTGCTCCTTTGGGGTTTCAGACAGCAGCTCCAGGGATCTGGGCGTGTGTGTGTGTGTGTGTGTGTGTGTGAGAGAGAGAGAGAGAGAGAGAGAGAGAGAGAGAGAGAGAGATGGGTGTGAATATGGCTTTGTACACCCTCTGGAATGTTTGTACAATATTTACTCAGCTTAAAGAGAGTGGCATACAACCGGGTTGCACGGCAGACGTATAAAACTGAATAGAAAGTCACACCAAGTTATTAGGCAAGATACAGGTAACCTGATGTTTGTTGGTTGTTGGTTTGTTGTCGTATTTTTAAAAAAGAGCACACCTACCAATCTATTGGCTGAACGAAGACATTTCAGCAACACTCTTGGAACCACGGCCATTTAAACAATCAGATCATGCAAATACAATCTGGGTACATCGGTAAGCAGAAATATATATATATATATTTTAAACTCTTTTTCAACTTTCAAGCACATGGATTTTGACCAGGACTCTCTTTTTTTTGGGGGGGGGACTTTATACATGCATCTGAATAAAAATGTGCTAACTAATGTTGCTTCTCAACAAGAGCCTACTGAATTAGAGAGAGAGAGAGAGAGATGGGGACAAAGCAATCACATACTGTATAGTAAAAATACACAGATGAGCATTATATAGTTATACCATTTTCTATACTCATAATCAGTATTTTTCACGCTTGCACTATTACTGTAGCTACTGAAGATTGACTGCTTGAGTATTCCTCCTTTCAAATTCTGGTCTAAACGGCAATCTCACGGGTAACTTTGTCTGTCTGTCTGCGTGTGTGTCTTAAGTTTCCCATGACTACCTGAAGATTATTATTGTACTTTTGAAAAGCCCTTGATGCAAAGCTTGACTTCATTTATTTTTTGATCCAACCACTCCTTCCTTCCCCAAGATCCAGTGGTTCAAGGGGAAAAAACCCAAAGAGCTAAAGTTTGTGAGCGTCGTGGCAAACCAAAATAAATATGGAGTGAGAAGTCTACTCTGGTTTTTTTTAAGGTAGATGGTACTTAAGTGCTATATAATTAGAATTTTGCAGAATTTTTAAAGCATTGATCAGTCACACTTGTAGGTCAATTGTCATGATTTTACTTTGAAACAGGCTACAGCTCTAATGAATGCATTTGTCTTGCTCTCTGTAGCACCGACAAAGGATTCTTCTGTGTGATTATTATTATTTCAGTCGAATGCAGTAAGAAGAGTGGACAAAGTCCTAACTTACTACCCCCCCATCATATCATTCAACAAAGAGACAAAATACATGATTGGTCTAAACTTTTACCCTCCTTTTAGCAGCTATGGTCAGTTAAGCTATGCTATACCAAAAACAAAAAACTCAAATCTTCATCTTCAGATGGAGCAGAACAGAACCTGGATCTGTTCCGAGTTAGGCTGGACACTCTTTTCTGCAGAGGCAGAGAGACGGCTTAAGACACTTACACCTGGCTACTGAACAGCATGATCTTAAGCCAAATAAAAGCCAAACTTGAAATCTTTGTTCAAGGGCGGAGGCAATAAAACTAAAAGCCAGCAGCAGTGACTTGCATCTTGCAAAATGACTTGTTGATTTGGAGAGCCAGTTCATTTGCTCAGCTTTTCTCCAAAAAGGAAGCCCCCCTCCTGCCCACCCCCTGCCCAGCAATAGCTACTTGGGATTCCTTGAGATACATTTCTGCAGCGTAAAGGAGCTCTAAGAATTATTTTAAACTCTTCTTGTTCCATTTTGTACAGAAAGCGTATTCTTTTCACATGGCAGGTCTAGAGTGAAATTGCATTTTACATTCCAAATTATGATACCGATGCTTAAGAACACTGGTCCTTTCCAAAACAATTTTGCGAATGCTAGTGGATATATTTTGGTTGTATTTTCCTTCCCCTCTCCCTAAAGGACAGGGAGAAAGAGAGAAAGAGAAAGTGTGTGTGTGTGTGAGAGAGAGATATATATGGGATGGTGCTATGCAATGGGGATAATAAGGAGTGCGACAGAAGACTTGCATTTGGTGTTGGTGGCGAGTGGGAGATTTTGTCTTAAAGGAGGAAGAAGAAAAGAATAGCGTTTGACCTGCTGGGATGCCCTAAGCAACAGGAGATGCCCATTACAACTGCGCTGAAAGCAAGAATCTATTTAAGATAAAATCTATCCATGTTACCTGCACTGCCAGAAAACCCCACACTTCAGGGTGAAATTCAACTTGCAGGGGCATGTATTCTCCATTCATTTACTGGGGCTCCTGAGCAGCAGCCAATTTAAGCAACAGAACTTACAAAAAAGTGGTTCTTTAGAGAGTCCTCAGTCTTGAAAAGGCATGCAGTAAAGAGCTCTCCCCTCTCAAATAAAATAAAAAATAAAAAGTTGTACATTCTTCAGGGGTGTGTGTATGTGTGGGTGATTTAAGGAACCCAATAGTGGTGATTTAAGGAACCCAATCATGTATTTGGTTACAAACACTTGGAGAATACAAGCAATTTTTCACTTGCCTCCCCCCCCGAAAAACAACAACCAAAAAGAACGAAAACTGGCTTTAAAAGACTTCTAAAAAACAATGTTCTTGTAAACTCTTATTATTCCATTTTAAAAAATAAGGAAAAAATAATGAAAGGAAAAAAAAACCCACAAGACTTATTTGGCATATTCTCTGCTTACTCCTGAATATCTTAAGGCCCTGAGATTAGAATATTATGTTCTTGGGACCATAGGGCTAATATTAAACCCTAGTGCATCAATTTTCTCTTTAAGCCCTAACCAAAGTTCCAGCATCTCAAACTTAAGATATACTTCCACTGGGGCAAAGGCTTGGATGCCCCCCCGCTTTAGCTTTCTTTTATTGTAACAAAGTTAAAACGCCGGCGAAGCTACTGCCGTTCTCGATACCATCGCTGGCATGTCTATCAATGGAAACATACCCTGTAGCAGAGGTATGCTCCTGCGGTCAGAACAGTGAACATGCAAATGTTGACCAGAAATGGTTTCCAAGTTGACATCATGTTCTCATCGTCGTCTTCTTCCGACTTGACCATCTCTTCATTTTGTGGCGAGGCATCGACAGTTCTCTTCCTAAGCTCAGTGTCTTGACTAGTGCTGAGGAACAAGAGAGAGCGTATACATTCAACATTTGTTTTTATTAGATTTTTCAAAGGTCTTAACAAACTTGACTTCACATCTATTTTTCTTTGTGACTTTCTGCCCTGATGTTTTCCATCCTTATCCTTAATTGCTGCGTTCTACTTGTTCCTAGGTCCGTACAGTTAAAGCTATGGTTTTCCCAGTAGTGATGTATGGAAGTGAGAGCTGGACCATAAAGAAGGCTGATCGCCGAAGAATTGATGCTTTTGAATTATGGTACTGGAGGAGACTCTTGAGAGTCCCATGGACTGCAAGAAGATCAAACCTCTCCATTCTGAAGGAAATCAGCCCTGAGTGCTTACAGGAAGGGCAGATCCTGAAGCTGAGGCTCCAATACTTTGGCCACCTCATGAGAAGAGAAGACTCCCTGGAAAAGACCCTGATGTTGGGAAAGATGGAGGGCACAAGGAGAAGGGGACGACAGAGGACGAGATGGTTGGACAGTGTTCTCGAAGCTACCAGCATGCGTTTGACCAAACTGCGGGAGGCAGTGGAAGACAGGAGTGCCTGGCGTGCTCTGGTCCATGGGGTCATGAAGAGTCGGACCTGACTAAACAACTAAACAACAACAACTTGTTCCTAAACCTTCTAACTCCATCTTGTCTCCCCCCCCCCACCCGCTGCTTGTATCTCAAATCCAGCTCACGATTTTGTATCATTAAGATACTTTGATAGTGTAAAAGAAAAAAGGCCTTCGGTTCTCCATAATACAGCCTAGCACCCTCATACCTACGGGACTGCCTCTCCTGGTATGTCCCACAGAGGACCTTACGGTCTTCAAATAAAAACATCTTGAAGATCCCGGGGCACAGGGAGGTTAGACTGGCCTCAACCAGAGCCAGGGCTTTTTCGGCTGTGGCCCCAATCTGGTGGAACGCTCTGTCACAACAGACTAGGGCCCTGTGGGACTTGACATCTTTCCGCAGGGCCTGCAAGACAGAGCTGTTCCACCAGGCCTTTGGCCAAGGCACAGTCTGACTCCCTTTCTCCTTCTGTAATCTTCATAGAACTCTGGCCCAATGGTTGCCATTAATTTGATTCTGAATTAATTTGTTTCTAGAATGTATTTTAATTGATTGACTGTGCGATTTTATGTGCACTGTGCTATTTTTACCTGTTGTTAGCCACTCCGAGCCCGGCTTTGGCCGGGGAGGGCGGGATACAAATTATTATTATTATTATTATTATTATTATTATTATTAGCAGTTCATCGTTTTGATCTCTTGGTTTTACAGTCAATTCCGCCATTTCAGCTATTTTGCCATTTATTTTAAAGCCATTCTTCTTTGGTTGGAACCTTTTCCTTTTTCCATTTCGGCACATATAAGGTTCTGGCTGAGGCTGCTGCATACATAAAAAGATTAGTCAGCTTCTTTGAAGCCTCTGTCCCAGGAAGAGCATACCCATTCAAAACCAGCAGGAGCCACATCCAACATTGCAGCTCTGCTGGCTTCCACGTGTGGGGCAGAGTTTCCTCTTCTGTCTCTTCCAGCCTCCAGCACATCCTCAACATCAGCTCTGAAGGGTTGGGACTTGGGAGACCCCCCTGGGGCATATTTATTTGAGGTGGGGGGAGACCCACAGGAGGAGGAGAGGAAGCAGAAGTCCTGTTTCGCTACCAGACTCCTGCCGGAACAGCACAGGCTACAACTCAAGAGTTCCTTGCCCCCTGAGAAAAGGCACTGCAAAAGTGTTTTGCAGGTGATTATTTTGTGGAAGGCTGATCGCCAAAGAATTGATGCTTTTGAATTATAGTGTTGGAGGAGACTCTTGAGAGTCCCATGGACTGCAAGAAGAGCAAACCTCTCCATTCTTAAGGAAATCAGCGCTGAGCGGTCACTGGAAGGACAGATCCTGAAGCTGAGACTTTGGCCACCTCATGAGAAGAGAAGACTGCCTGGAAAAGACCCTGATGTTGGGAAAGATTGAGGGCACAAGGAGAAGGGGACGACAGAGGATGAGATGGTTGGACAGTGTTCTCGAAGCTACCAGCATGAGTTTGACCAAACTGCGGGAGGCAGTGGAAGACAGGAGTGCCTGGTGTGCTCTGGTCCATGGGGTTACGAAGAGTCGGACACGACTAAATGACTAAACAACAAGATTTTGTGGAGGAGAGCGATGAGACAGAAAAGGAGCATCAATGCTTCGGGCATGGTGGAAAGCCAAGGAGCCAGGTTCTATATATCATAGAATTGCAGAGTTGGGTTATTGAGTCCAACACTCCCTGCAATGCAGGAATCTTTTGGCCCAGGTGGGGCTCGGACTGAGTTACTGGGATATGGGAACAAATTGAGGACTGAGAGAAAAAAGGACCCAGAGAATAATATGAATAGACTGCTACAAAACTGGCAAAAATGGGAGGTTGCTTTTAAGCACACCTGCAGGGGAACTTGAAGCGGGTTAAATACTTTTTGGCTCAGGTCTAGATAAAAATGGGCAAGTCAGACTCCAGTATTGCTGAACCAGGAAAAGGAAATCTCCTGACATTATTGCACATGGAGCAGTAGTGACACCTAGTGTTCAAGCGGTGCATTTCCTCCCTCTCTCCCAGCTTTTGATAACTTTTGCTGGCTGTTTCTAGAGTTTTTCATTTCAGCTGTCTGGAATGACAGGTGAGCAAACCCCTTACTGAAAAGATAAAACCTCAGATTTTAAGCTTCTTCTACTAGAGTAGGAAAAACTTCGACCATCTCTTAATTCTTTTTAAACTGTCTGATATTTTGCAACAGCCTCTAAGCTATATTTTGGTTAGATCCATAATTAAGTCGAAACAATTTTCTTTCTCTAAAAAAATGGAAGTTGGGTTCCACCCTGACAATGTTTGAGTTCCAATGGAAATACTTCAGTCCTACTGAGAAATGGGGAATTTGCTAAATAAGTGACCTCATTCATTCTTATCTAGTGCAAAGACTTAAAAGGCTCTTTAGCACAAGCAGACTGCAGACAAACCACCTTGTGCCCCTGCAACGTCTTATTTGAACTGACCTAGTTTCTCAAGAAATTCTGAACATTTATCCTTTTCAGAAGATTTTGAAAGCATGCAAAATCAGTGTAGCTGCTTTCAGAACTACCCCCTTTGGCTTCTTTTAATAAATTCACAAAACGATAACACTATAAAGAATACTTCCTGCTATATTTAATAAAGCTCAGTTGCATCTTTGGTTTACTAAGATGCCTGTGTACAGCTTGGAAATGACCACATTTCATTCTGCACCACAAATTATTTTACTTGTTTATTCTAGAGACAGACCCCCCCCCTGGCATTTTTTTCTTCCTTATAGTAGAGGAGCAAGGAGTTAAGAGGAGTAAGGGAAAAAATACATCAAAAGGGAACTTCCTCAAACGCTTTCATTCCTTTCCCCTCAATCTCTGCCTCTCCTTTCCTATTTTCTACACGAACGGATAAAATGTTATCGGGTCCTTGCTCTGCTTTAGTAAAAACACTGGGAAACAAAAGAGACAGGCAGCTTGCTGGCTACAAGGCTGATGGCGATCTGATGCAAGTGTTCCCCCAAAGAAATCCTGGCCAACATTACCTCTCCATGTCTAGATGTTCAGAGGGGTGATCTCTGCCATCAGGAACCTTCGCCACCAGAGCGCTCACGGCACATGCGACTTCCTCCTCCGTCACCCGATGTTTTGAAGAATTTTCCATGTGGTCGTGCACCCTTCCGTTATTCATTTCTGAGGTTCGCTTGGGTGGTCTTGGGGGTGGGGGAATATGTTCCGGCGGGGGGTCCAAGTCTTCTTTAGAGAGCTCTTTCCATTGCTCCTTCAACAGAAGCAGGAGACTCATTAAACTTTCTTAAAAAAACGGCAAGGAAAATGCACACACGCTTTTTCTGTACACGCCCAGGATGCACCATTAAGGTGTTCCCATTTATCCATTTTTTAAAAAAGAAATGTTACTGTGCAGTTTGTTGTACCTATTGTCAGTGGGAAAATCTGAAGTGCAGGAGCTCATCATGACAGCCCCTACAGCCACGAGATTGTGCATTCCCTTAGGCTCCTAGCTAGACCAAAGACAAAATAACAAGATTTACTATTCCTTGTGATGTAACTGGACAGTGGTACCTCTGGTTGCGAACGGGATCCGTTCCGGAGGCCCGTTCGCAACCTGAAAAGCCCACAACCTGAAGCGCCGTATCTGCGCGGGTGTGCGGCATGATTTGGTGCTTGTGCGCATGTGCGAAGCGCAATTTAGCGCTACTGCGCATGCGCGAGCAACAAAACCTGGAAGTAACCCTTTCTGGTACTTCCGGGTCGCCGCGGGACACAACCTGAAAAAACGTAACATGAAGCAAACGTAACATGAGGTATGACTGTAATCCTATGCGCAGTCACCTGGGACTAAACTCCACGGAACTCAGTGGTACTTACTTTTGACTTGGCTGCATAGGTTCAAGTTGTGAAACACATTGGAAGGGCACAATTCACTTGACCAGTCCCAACAGAGGAATGTCTGCATCATCATCATTTTATTATTTACTGTATTTTTCGCTCCTTAAGACGCACTTTTCCTCTCCTAAAAGGTAAGGGGAAATGTGTGTGTGTCTTACGAAGCGAATGCAGGGGGGAGGCAGGCAGGAAAAGCCCCCAAGAGCCGCACATAAGCTCCGCGCGGCTCTTGCAGGCTTTTCCCCCAGGAGGGAGAAGGGACTGACGCGGCCAGTCAGTCCCTTCTCCCTCCTCGTAGAAAAGCCCGAAAGGCGCGTGCTCCTTAAAGGGTGCACAGCTCCTGTGGGCTTTTGTGGGAGGTGGGGGTATTGCCATAGCCGCGGGCAGCCTCTCCCGGCTGGAGAGGTTGCGCACGGCTAAAGAGGAAGCCAAGACAGCCAGATTTTTTCCCTTGATTTCCCCCTCTAAAAACTAGGTGCGCCTTATGATCCAGTGCGCCTTATGGAGCGAAAAATACCGTATATGCCTCCCATCTGACTGGGTTGCCCCAGCCACTAAAGGCAGCTTCCAGCAAAGATTTCTGCTTGCACTCTGGGGGGCTTCCCTCCGGCCCACCCCCTTGCACTCCCTGAAAATGGGTCTTGGGTGAGTGTGTCAGGAGAGCTCCCAGAACAGCACGATGGAGGGGGAAATAGGTCCAGCTGGCAAGTTGCAACGCTTGCACAGACAGAACGATGTTGAACAAAATGTAGTCCGAGTCACTTTGAAACACCTAACTGGAAACAATTCATAAATGGAAATACTAATAATAATATACAAGGACCCCATCAAAAGAGGGGGAGGGATCTAGCCTCTGCTTAATTCCCTTCCTCATTCTCTGACTTCCTCTTTGCAGTCTTGTTATCACCTCATTCCCTTTCCGGAGCAAGAAGAGTGCATCAACCACCCGGGTGCCTGGGCACATGAAACCATCACCCCGCTCTGAATTTTTCTTTTCTTCCCATAGCTGCATTCCCCCTTCAACTCTTCCACCGCCTATTCAAATAACGTTTAAGTGATAATGGCATGATGCGTCTTAAGCAACAACCCTCAGCTCAGCGGATACCCTGGTCCTGCTAGAGTCTTCACATCTACAAGACATAGGAAGACACGGGTTGGAAAATGAACTACAGTACTGCAGTGCCAGGGCAGAACCTGCTATTCCCCAGAACTGTAAAGCAGTAAGAATCACCTATTGCAATGGCAACAACACATGCAACATCCTATAACCTGGTTTATACACAAGTGTGTGTGTGTGTGTGTGTGTGTGTAAGTATATATGTGTGTCAAAGGTGCATTTGTGAACCACTTTGTTTTAGCACATCTAATTGCCGCTCGATTCTACGCACTGCTGTTCCATAAAAATCTTGGCCCATTCACACACAACTTTAAAAAATGAAGACAACCTATGCCAGTCGAATTCTGCTACTGCTGCTCACCTGCACAGATGAGTCTCCCATAATGAATTTTGATCCTTCTAGAACAGCCAAATATGAGAAGCGAAGCTGGTCTGCAGTCTGTATAAGCCCCATGCGGTATTTCCTCATTTCTAAAAGAACCTGCTTAATGTCGACGGAAGAAGGGTCTTTTCTTTTGTCCATCTAAATAGAGAAAGGTGAAATTCAGATCGTTTTTTGAAGCAACAGTACAGCTTCTCATTTGTGGACTATCCGGAAGACGTCTTTACCAAGGTTGCAGTCCTAACCCACGTCTACTCAGGCCTTATAGAATCTCCTTGTTTGGAGGTCTTTAAGCAGAGGCTTGACAACCGTATGTCAGGAGTGCTCTGATGGTGTTTCCTGCTTGGCAGGGGGTTGGACTCGATGGCCCTTGTGGTCTCTTCCAACTCTTTGATTCTATGATTCTATAATGATGCCCAGTGAAAATTCACCAGATCCAATATTTTTTAAGAGCCCCAGACAACAAGCTATTATTGGGCCCTCCCCCTTCATCCCACTAAAATGGGTGACCCCAACAATATGACTTGTCTAAGACACACATATTCTGACACTGAACTTAAGTAAACTCCCATGAATGCAGCGGGCATTCATAAGATTTTGTTGAGGGGCTGTTGTTCTCAAAAGCAGCAGGACTCATTTCCAACACATGCTTAGGACTGGAATGTCAGAGGAAGGAGAACAGAAATGGGATTCTCCCCAGCTTCTCTAGCTGAAGTGCCAAGGATCGTGTCAACAAGGATCATGTCAACATACTCAAAAATCATGGCGATAAATGTAAAAATTAAGGCAACAAGTTTTCAGAATGAAGTGGATAGAACATAGCGTTTTCGTAGTTTTCCTGCCAAAAGCACATCTACTGAAACAAGACACAGCAAGGGTGTAGAAAGAGAGGGTATTAGCAACTGGCTAACTGAAGGCAGGCCTCACTGAAAGCTAGGCTTGATTTTAAACTTTGAAGTGGAAATAGATTACTCTAGGATGGGAGTTGTCTGTAGGAATTTCTCTCTCCCCAAAACCTTTTTCTTTTTCAGGGTGAAGATTCAGAAGTATCAGGTTCTCCTATGTATGGGCCTCTATACCATGCCACAGTTTTACTGTGCACTGGTGGTACTGAGACAAAGTACCAGTTCCTCCATGACAAAGATAGGTGCCAGCCCAGAACAAGTCTGAAACGGAATTAGGTTAAAGCAGAATTCAGACAGATGTCCCACACAGTCACTGCTACAAAGGGTTTGCCGAAGTTTATGAAGCCTATTTTGCTCTGCTCTGCTTAGGTAAAGGTAAAGGGACCCCCAACCTTTAGGTCCAGTCGTGACCGACTCTGGGGTTGCGGCGCTCATCTCGCTTTATTGGCCGAGGGAGCCGACGTACAGCTTCCAGGTCATGTGGCCAGCATGACTAAGGTGCTTCTGGCGAACCAGAGCAACACACGGAAACGCCGTTTACCTTCCTGCCGGAGCGGTACCTATTTATCTACTTGCACTTTGACGTGCTTTCGAACTGCTAGGTTGGTAGGAGCAGGGACCGAGCAATGGGAGCTCACCCCGTTGTGGGGATTCGAATCGCCAACCTTCTGATCGGCAAGTCCTAGGCTCTGTGGTTTAACCCACAGCGCCACCCGCATCCCTCAGCTCTGCTTAGCATCATAGAATTGTGGAGTTGAAAGGCACTAAACAAAATGGCAGCCAACACTCCCTTCCACCTTACAAGCAAGCTTCTCTTACCAAAAGGAGACAAGTGTCAACCAAGCAGAAAGTTCCTGATCTTCCAATCCCTGCACTGCAGTGTACTACAATGGGTCCATGTTCGGGGCTCAGTGACCCCGACTCTCTCACTTTGACCAGGAAGTTGAGGAACGAAGCTGGAGACTCGGGTACTCCAAAGTCAGGCCACGTTGTATAATGAAAGTGCAGGATTTCTCGAGTTTCATGTGTCTGCAAAAGACAAAAACCGTTTTCACCCAAGGTTTCAAGAAAATGAAAGTACGCAGCGATACTCGTTATGGCCTGCAACAACGCTTCAGTGATTAGGAAACTGACATTCAGTTTATTTTCATATTTCTTCTTTAAAAATAAAAGACATGTGCATGGAACATAACACCCAACAACTCCCCACACCTGCCCTGGCCAAACTTCAGAAAGTTGATTTCAAGGCTGCATTTGAACAGGCATTTCCTGCATGAGGTGCCACAAAAAGTTTACTCACGTGTAAGAAGATTCACAGAGTATCTTAAATTCCACTGCAGGGACACTGTAATTCATGATATTCTAGGGCATGGCTGTGGAGTCTCCAGCCCAGGGACCTCATCACACTGGCTAGGCCTCAAATATGGCATGCAAGACCATTTTGGCCAGGCCAAGTCCACCTGCCCTGTGGGACAGGTACAGATGCAGTTTCCTGCTGAAAGTGGGCTTTGCAGGCACTGCTGATTGTCGGTACTTGCAAAGCCCTGTTTGATTTCAAACCGCACAGGCAAAGGAAAATTCATCAACAGATGTCATGGTGCCATTAGGTGATTGGGGATTGTGGTCTAGCGCACCTGTCAAAATCGTTGCGGGAAAGAGATGAACCTCAGGGTCACTTCCAACTCTACAATTCTATGGTTCTGTGCACTTGGGTACCAAAGCATGTCTTCTGCTGGCTGGGAACTGTTCCCCATATCTGCTCTAAGATCCTATATGATTATTACATGGTAGCTGTTTACTACTAGAACCGCTAAACAGGGTTTGCCTCTTGATTCAAATGCAGCCTGATTCTGCGGTTTGCCATCAGCTATTGGCACAAGATCTAGGAGAAAGTTCATGGGAACCTGCTCAGTTGAAGGAGAGTTTGCAAAGCCCCGTGCAAAGCGATCCACGAGGCCTGGATATCACTTGATTCTTTGCAAGACAGTTTTTTTTGTGGCAAGGGACTCGGCAAGAGGGTCTGACTGAGACCCTTGGAAAACGCTATCTTGTTGAGTGTTTTCCAAGGGTCTCACAGCAAAACTCAACTATTAGCTGATTGTTGGGTCCCTTGCAAAGCATTCTGCAAAACCCATGCTGATGAAAAAGGCTCACCAAGCATAACTGTGTCAGGTGCGGGAGGTAGAAATCTGCCCCACTAGACCAATATAGTTCTCCACCCTCGTTCTAGGAAGTACTTTACTATGGGACATGACCTAATTGCTCTTCTCATTAAAAAAGCTAAAAAAAGAAAAATGGGGAAATATGGAAAACATACTAATTTCCCCACTTTTATTTCCACACAACTGCCAAGAATGTAGAGACAGGAAACTCTGAGAATTCCTGCGGTATTTCTAGCCCCCGTGGCTGCAAAGATGTTTGAAGGTACGATGGCAAAAAAAAAACCCCTGATGTGCTTATCTGTGCTGCCCATACCTAGGAACTACAGTGGTGCCTCGCAAGACGAAAAGAATCCATTCCGCGAGTCTCTTCGTCTTGCGGTTTTTTCGTCTTGCGAAGCAAGCCCATTAGCGGATTAGCGCTATTAGCGGCTTAGCGGATCAGCTGATAAGCGGCTCAGCTGATAAGCGGCTTAGCAGATCAGCCGTTAAGCGGCTTAGCGGATCAGCCGATAAGCGGCTTAGCTGATAAGCGGCTTAGCTGATAAGCGGCTTAGCGGCTCAGCTGTTAAGCGGCTTAGCGGATCAGCTGTTAAGCGGCTTAGCGGATCAGCTGATAAGTGCCTTAGCGGCTTGGGAAAAAGGGGGGGGGGAGGAAAAAAACCCTGCAGGAACTCGCAAGAATCCGAAGAGCCAGTGTGGCAACTTCTCAAATGTTAGAACAAAATACATTCAACGCAACTGGGATTCTGCTACATCAGCATTAAGCATATCTTGAAGCTCTAGCAAAGAGTCATCAAGTATCCATCTTCTTAATGCAGGGGACTAATATAGCAAAATACGGTTTGTAAAAAGTGTGTGTATGTGTGAGAGATAAATAGTTAACGCTGACCTTCCCCATACTTACTGTGAGGTTTTCCAATTCTAACTGTCGTACTGTATAGTAGGATTTTATATCTTCTGATATCAAGGTTAACGTCAAGTTTGTATCCTCAAAGAGCATCACTTTCTCCTCTTTTTGCGGCCAGTACTGTGCACATTTTATCTAGAGGGGGAAAATAAGCAAGACTTGTGTTCAAGCTGCTTAACAAGGAGTCGCCCAGAACGGCAAGCATTATTTACAACTCATCAGCACATATGGCACTTATAGACAACTGAGACAGCCCCTTCACATTATCTGTGTACATGTGGCACACAGACGTAGTTTACTGAATATCTAAAAGCAGACTTGCAGAAATGAAAGGGGGGGGGGCTGTCGTTTCCCACAGGGTTTCAGTCAATAAGAAGAGGAAGGAAATTGCACAGGGAAGGACTTGAGCAAAGATGCGAGTCTTTAAAAGCAGTGGTTGTGAACCTGTGTTTGGCTTCCACCATAACTGACTAATGGTCATGTTGGCTGCGACTGATGGGAAGTCACATCTGGAAGGTCACAGGACCCCTAACCCTCCTTTAAATACAGTTTGCATGCAGGTCTCAGTTTGGCACTGAAAGGTGGCAGGATGTGGAAAGACCTTTGCCTTGGATACCGGCTGGAGTGGAGTGCACTCTAGATAGGCCGCAGCTTCCAGCTTCCAGTGCCTGTGTGTGTTCATCCACCCCTAAGAATTTATGCTGAAAGTCTCAACCGCTAACAACAGGAGAAACCCCTGTGATTACCCCTTAAACCACTGAGTGAACAAAACATATTTTCGAGTGCCATGGACTGGCGCTAGGCACCGGGTTTCTGGAACCGATCTGGGATTACAGAACATGGCAGCTAGGGAAAACCTCATTTGGGCGAAACTGACAACTGCAACGAGCCAACAAAATTGCCATAACGATTTATGGGACTCTACTTAGGAGAACAGCTAGAAGTATACATGCACACAACTGTAGCTTTTAATTAGGAATCAAGAGACACAGATGCAATTGAGTTGTTCAGTTCAGTTCAACCCCTTTCCCCCAAATTCCAATCTTATGAGATCATTTTGATGCCATATGGGATAGTTTAAAGGTTACAGCGGTTTGTTCTCACTGAAAATGGAGTCTGGGCATTTCAATTACCTAAGTTCTTGACTGATCATAGTAATTTTCTCAATAATAATTTCCCAGGAAATCCAAGATTTGCATCGCTAGAATGTTTATATGCCATGAAGCTGATAGTGTCCAGTGGTTGAGACAACTATCAAACCTACAATTGTAGACACCAAGAACTTGGGTTCATGGAGAACGCTGTCCTGCAGAATTCAATACAACTTCAATGACATTTGACGAGGGAAATGTTTACTGTTCTTGGATTTTAGTGTTCTGTTTTCAGTGCAATAGCCTTATTCTTTCTGCTTTTTCTACCATATGACAAAGAGATGGATAATTATGCTATTTAATTACTGATCAAAAATAGTTCAACATGGGATGGTAATACTGGAGACCTTTTATAGAACGGAAACTGGTACAATCCACTAGGGAGTATTACACAAAAGAAGTGTTTGAGGCAATAGTTTACCAACCCACAAAATGTTTTATCCAGAGGAGGGGAAAAGGAAGGAATTCTATGTAGGATAGCCCATCATAGAAGGCACCAACGTCTTTTTCCATTTAACTCCTGAACAATACGACTTGGTTGGAGACAGAAAGAATTTTTAATCTTCTGCAAATTTATTTTTAATCGCAGCTTGCAAGAGAATCTGCTCCATGTAACTTTTTTTTTTTTTTGCACTAAATGGTTTGGCAAATAATGTTTTTGCCAAGTTCCCATTGAGTATCCCCCCTCAACCGTTTGTCGAGAAGCATTAGCAGCCTTCCCTCAGGGGATCTCAATAATTCTGTGCTTTGTTCAAGCTTACTGGCAGTGGAGAAAGAATGAGTGGGGGTGAGTGGGAGAGGAAGGAATGGTTGAGTCTGTGGTTACTGTACTTCTCGTTTTAGATTTGTTTCACTACGCATATTACTGGGGAACTGGAAACCTCCACTCAACAAGACAGTGATTACTGCAGACGACTTCTCCATAAATCTTTCCTATATCCTATAAGGAATACAATTCGCTCTTCACTCCAAGGACTTTTGAAAAATGCCTGCGAGGTTATTTATGACAAGTGGTCGACTGACTGTTGTTTGGAAAGAGAAGCATGGGCAAGCGAGCTCTGCAATTCACTTCAAGGCCGAAGACTTGAAGGAAGACAGAAGAAGAGAGCTCGTAACACAGGAGTAGTCAACGTGGTGCCATTCAGATGTTCTTGAACTCCAACTCGCATCATCCCAGAGGCTGATAGGAGTTGGAGTCCAACAGCAATCTGGAAGGCACCATGTTGGCAACTCCTTTCATCACATGTTACTTAACAGCTGGGTGAGCTTCACAAATTGAATGAGAGGCATGGATGATGGCTCAGCTGTCAATCTCTCGGACACAGGCCACGCGGCACATGGACACCCATGTGTTCACCACTTTAACTTAAAGGGAATGATTTGGATGTCTGCGATGATAAATTCAGAGGTCAACTAACCAGCTCCATGAACCATTTCCAGATTAACCTGTGTAAGTGATGGAGCCACTGCCTGTTTTTTTGCCTAAGGTGGGGGACCTCAAGCCCAGGGGCTGAATGCTCCCCAGTCTTCTCTTATCTAAGCCTCAGGTTCTCCGCAACCACCTCAGATGCTTTTGCTTGAACGGTGGATGTGTCCTGGAACTGCCCTTGAATAGTACTTCTTGCATGCATGGATGGTAGATGGACAAGTGCACTTGGGGGTAGGGGAGGTTGCACATGGCCACGTGAAGAGTTACATCCATTGCACTGTCCACTTTTGTCTTTGGCCCCGAAACGCGGTTCCTGGGACGTTCCCCACGAAGTAAGGCAGTCCTTGGGGTTAGAACAGTACCCCACCTCTGCCTTAAGGTAAACCTGGGTATGAATTTCCTAACTATTTAAAGGTAAAGGGACCCCTGACCATTAGGTCCAGTCGCGGACGACTCTGGGGTTGCGGCGCTCATCTCGCTTTATTGGCCAAGGGAGCCGGTGTACAGCTTCTGGGTCATGTGGCCAGCATGACTAAGCCACTTCTGGTGGACCAGAGCAGCACACCTTTTACCTTCCCGCTGGAGCGCTACCTATTTATCTACTTGCACTTTGACGTGCTTTTGAACTGCTAGGTTGGCAGGAGCAGGGACCAAGCAACGGGAGCTCACCCTGTTGTGGGGATTTGAACCGCCAACCTTCTGATCGGCAAGCCCTAGGCTCTGTGGTTTAGACCACAGCGCCACCCATGTCCCTTCCTAACTATTTATAAAGTGATTTATTCATCAGTGAGTGCACCATCTGCTTTACAGCACCCACACACAGGGCTGTTTGTGATGCGACCCAAAAATGCATTATGCAAAAACCCTGAAGCAAGAAAAATATGCATATCAAATGTGCGTACTAAAGCGTTTGAAGAGCTTTCAAAAACACACACAGCAGCAGCAGTATGGTTTCGGGAGTAGTAAGAGAAAGTGAAGACCAGAGGGGGAGCAGGAGGAGAAGAAGAAAGTAAAGGGAAAACAGGGAGGAAAGGGAGTATCATTGTAGCTATGGCAGCCACAGAAGTCCCTGGATTGCCTGAGAACCACATGGACACTGGCTTGGGTTCCACAACAGAATGAAGGACATACACAACTGAAAACAAGTAAAATAGTGGCACAGTGTGGTTCTTCTTTGGACATGTGCAAAGGGTTGAAAAAGCAACAGCAATGTCAGCTGAAAGTTTAGGTTACTAAAAGGTCTGATCTGGAGGGCTTCTAATGGCTAAGAGTTGACACAGCTGTTTATTGCTGTACTAAGTTTCCAAGCTGTTCAATTTTCAGTATGAAAGTTGCTGTTTTAAAGGGTACAAAAATGTCTCCAAAGTCTCCCTGCTTTAAACACCTGCATGCATTTTTTCATACCTGTTTGCAGTCATCAGTCATCAATACACTGCTGCCTCAGAGCCACTTTTAAAATCCTGAACGGACTTCTTCACTGTGTGATCCCAGCCATTCAGGGATCACATGGTGAATGCAATGACATCACTGACCCTGGTTAACTACATGATGAGGGCTCTGCTGATGGACAAAAACACCTGAACTGAAAATAGTAATAACTGAGGAATGTCCCAATAATTTTTCACACCTTTTCACGTGGCCCAACAATAAAGGAACCACCAAAAAATTGGGATACGGAATAAAAAGTCCATGCAACTCATTCTCCTGGTGAAGCTCAGTGCTAGCTTCTATACTTGACACTGGCTACCACATCTCTATGAACTAACTTGGGACTGAGAGAGAAATGAAATACAATTAAATAAATATGCTCAGCCCCTTCATTACACCCAAATGCCAATACTGCAAAGGAGCAAAGTAAAAAAGTTCATTGCACTGGGTTGCAGGCTGGTAATATATTGCACTCATAGTGCACAATTGGTTCTGAACATAATAGATTCCATTATATTTCTAGGTTGTCTAACAAATACTTATTTTTCTTCACTTCTGGCATGTGCATTATTGCATCCCCCCCCCTACAGGACCATTTTCATCAGGTTTTTAAATTGTGCATGCACCATGTGCTCAGGATCCCAAAACAAACATGGGGGGGGATGATTTAGTTACTTACTGATCCCTTTTCCATCACTCTGTTGAGCATGACAACGCCACGGCTTTTCTGTTCCCAAATCATCTCCCAAAAGTGACCACAAGTATTTGGCAGAGGCCCCTGCAAAGATACAAAGCCTTAATGTGGTACAAGTTCAGAGAACAGCAGCCTAGCAACAATTCTCTATTTCTAAACCCAAAACTGGGAGTGGCTCCTCTTTTCAGATACATAAAATGTGAAGTTTTAAGTGATTTCCACCCCGCTTCATATTGTGAAGTTGCCAAATACTAATCTGTAAGGATGCAGAACTTGAAAGTTTTATAGATAGAGAAGCATGTCCTTATTTCATTATTTGCTAGATAGGAACTGTAAAGAACAGTTCTAAGAAAGCTTGTTGAGAAAAAAATGAAAACGCCACTCCGCATGATAAATTTAAGATGTTTGTTCAATCAATGGAACTTACAATTCACAGAAACGAGAGACAATAAAAGCCAACTGCCTGGAAATTCAGCCATCTTTATCATTTCATGAAAAGTCCTGGCATAGCATTGACACGCAAGGTCAGAAAGAGTTTACTATTCCTGCTAGATGTTTACCCGATCCACTTTCAAAGTAACCTCTCTTCCAGGTCAAAGGTTCTTCCTTTCCCACCAGTCCCTCACATATCAACCCATGATGTCCAATGTATTAAAATGTATCTACAAAAGACTTACTAAGGATATTAGGCTGGCCAAAATGGGAACCCTGCACTCACAATGCTTGCAAGTGCAGCGAACTAGCCCCTTGGAAAAGAAAGTGACTGATGGCCGAGTGGCTAAAAGTCAACTCCATTAGCCCACAACTGGCATTTAATAACACCCGAATGCATGCCATATCCTGTTGCTATTCAAGTAAATAATCCAGAATAGATATTGCTAGGAATTGGGAGCCAAAGGGATTTGGATTACCCAGTCTATCCAAGTTTAGGAGGTCAGGAACAAAGGCTTCCTAGTCCCTTAACGTCTGATTAGCTGCATGAGGGTACATGATTGAGCCTTAAGTACAGTGGTACCTCTGGTCGTGAATGGGATCCATTCCAGAGCCCCGTTCGCAACCCGTGTCTGTGGGTTGCGATTCGCTGCTTCTGTGCATGACGTCATTTTGAGCGTCTGCACATGCGCGAGCGGTGAAACCCGGAAGTAACCCTTTCCGGTACTTCCGGGTCGCCACGGGATGCAACCTGAAAACGCTTAACCTGAAGCAAATGCAACACGAGGTATGACTGTATTACAAAGCTTATGGGGAGATGCTCAGAGCAAACGAAGGGCTGCTTCACCACTATGAATGTGGTCACACCACATTTAACTTCTCATCCTTGCATTTCCTCTGTTTCATGCCCATCTCTGCCCACCCACAGCATTTTGCCTCTGATGCACCCTCAACAATGCATCCTTGAACCCAGACTCTGACTTGTACCCTTGAGCAGATGTTGCCTGTTTACTTGACTCCGCGATACTGTATTCGCCCCGGCTCAATAGGGAGACTGGTCGCTCAGGAGCAGTTTATGCAAATATTCGTTAAATTTAGATGGCACTTCACCATCTCGTTTACTAAAGAAACCACACTTGAATACTGTGTTTGTTGGATAACCACTTTGGTACAACCAATTTAGGTTTGATGAGGCCCTAAGCTACTGAAGGTAATGGGGCCCTTTATATATCTATACAGCAGAAAGGAGCAGCCAAGCATACTAGGACTCAATTTCTTGACTTTAAGAAAGGCGACTTCATAAAACTTAGGGAAGTGCTGGGTGAGATCCCATGGACAGTAATACTAAAAGGAAAGGGAGTTCATGATGGCTGGGAGTTTGTTAAGAGGGAGATAGTAAAAGCACAACTTCAGGCAATACCAATGAGACGGAAACATGGAAGGTGCCTAAAGAAGCCAGGGTGGCTATCTAAAGAACTTTTAACTGAGTTAAGCCTAAAAAAGGATGTGTACAAAAAATGGAAAAGGGGGGAAACCACCAAAGAGGAATTCAAACAAATAGCCAGCACGTGTAGACACAAAGTCAGAAAAGCTAAAGCACAGAATGAACTCAGGCTTGCTAGAGAGGTTAAAAGCAACAAAAAAGGCTTTTATGGGTATGTTCGTAGCAAAAGGAAGAACAAAGAAACAGTGGGGTCACTCAGAGGAGAAGATGGTGAAATGCAAACAGGGGACACAGAAAGGGCTGAACTCCTCAATGCCTTCTTTGCCTCAGTCTTCTCCGATAAAGAAAACAATGCCCGACCTGAAGAATTTGGAGCAAATGATTCAGCAGAGGAAACACAGCCCAGAATAACTAAGGAGATAGTACAAGAATACTTGGCTAGTTTAGATGTATTCAAGTCTCCAGGGCCAGATGAACTGCATCCAAGAGTATTAAAAGAACTGGCAGATGTGATCTCAGAACCACTGGCAGTCATCTTTGAGAATTCCTGGAGAACAGGTGAAGTCCCGGCAGACTGGAGGAGGGCAAATGTTGTACCTATTTTCAAAAAGGGGAAAAGAGAGGACCCAAATAATTACCGCCCAGTCAGTCTGACATCAATACCAGGGAAGATTCTGGAGCAGATCATTAAGCAAACAGTCTGTGAGCACCTAGAAAGGAATGCTGTGATCACCAATAGTCAGCATGGATTTCTGAAAAATAAGTCATGTCAGACTAACCTGATCTCGTTTTTTGACAGAATTACAACCCTGGTAGATGAAGGGAACGCAGTGGATGTAGCCTACCTTGATTTCAGCAAGGCATTTGACAAGGTGCCCCATGATATTCTTGTAAAGAAGCTGGTAAAATGCGGACTTGACTATGCTACCACTCAGTGGATTTGTAACTGGCTGACTGACCGAACCCAAAGGGTGCTCATCAATGGTTCCTCTTCATCCTGGAGAAGAGTGACTAGTGGGGTGCCATAGGGTTCTGTCTTGGGCCCGGTCTTATTCAACATCTTTATCAACGACTTGGATGATGGACTCAAGGGCATCCTGATCAAATCTGCAGATGACACCAAACTGGGAGGGGTGGCTAACACCCCAGAGGACAGGATCACACTTTAAAACGACCTTGACAGATTAGAGAACTGGGCCAAAACAAACAAGATGAACTTTAACAGGGAGAAATGTAAAGTATTGCACTTGGGCAAAAAAAATGAAAGGCACAAATACAAGATGGGGGACACCTGGCTTGAGAGCAGTACATGTGAAAAGGATCTAGGAGTCTTGGTTGACCACAAACTTGACATGAGCCAACAGTGTGACGCGGCAGCTAAAAAAGCCAATGCAATTCTGGGCTGCATCAATAGGAGTATAGCATCTAGATCAAGGGAAGTAATAGTGCCACTGTATTCTGCTCTGGTCAGACCTCACCTGGAGTACTGTGTCCAGTTCTGGGCACCACAGTTCAAGAAGGACACTGACAAACTGGAACGTGTCCAGAGGAGGGCAACCAAAATGGTCAAAGGCCTGGAAACGATGCCTTATGAGGAACGGCTAAGGGAGCTGGGCATGTTTAGCCTGGAGAAGAGGAGGTTAAGGGGTGATATGATAGCCATGTTCAAATATATAAAAGGATGTCATATAGAGATAGAGGAGGGAGAAAGGTTGTTTTCTGCTGCTCCAGAGAAGCGGACACGGAGCAATGGATCCAAACTACAAGAAAGAAGATTCCACCTAAACATTAGGAAGAACTTCCTGACAGTAAGAGCTGTTCGACAGTGGAATTTGCTGCCAAGGAGTGTGGTGGAGTCTCCTTCTTTGGAGGTCTTTAAGCAGAGGCTTGACAACCATATGTCAGGAGTGCTCTGATGGTGTTTCCTGCTTGGCAGGGGGTTGGACTCGATGGCCCTTGTGGTCTATTCCAACTCTATGATTCTATGATTCTATATGTCCAGCTGTTCTTTGTCAACAACAAATTTTCGCTGTTTTTTGTGTTGAATATATGTTATATGGTAATTTATGGACCTAATAGTATCTAAAGCCATTTGCTACTGTTGCTGTATGTAGGTTTTATTTTATTTGTTTTTTAACTTATATTTTGGAAATGTACATCCAGTTTTTTCCCCTTTACCTTTTTTGGGGGGGCCCAACAGAGTGGGGCCCTAAGCTATACCTTGTTTAGCTTATACGTAAATCCGGCACTGGTACAACACTTGAGCCTTGTAGGTCTCATTTCATGTGACTGTTTTTCTATATGGGTGAGACTTAGCTCTCAGTTTTCCATGCTGTGGAGTAGAGTGAATGCACCCTATATAATATAATCATTATTTAGGACACCTACACATGGAAGAAAAGGGACATGGGTGGCGCTGTGGTCTAAACCACAGAGCCTAGGGCTTGCCGATCAGAAGGTCGGCGGTTTGAATCCCCGCAACTGGGTGAGCTCCCGTTGCTCGGTCCCTGCTCCTGCCAACCTAGCAGTTCGAAAGCACGTCAAAGTGCAAGTAGATAAATAGGTACCGCTGAGGCAGGAAGGTAAACAGCGTTTCTATGCGCTGCTCTGGTTTGCCAGAAGCAGCTTAATCATGCTGGCCACATGACCCAGAAAGCTGTCTGTGAACAAATGCCTTTACCTTTACACATGGAAAGCTCAAAGTAAATTGAAAAGACATTCTCGGTGCACAACACAGGCACCCAGAGACTTGATACTTTACTGATTCTGTCAGTTCAGCCACATTATCATCACTATTTGTGGAGTATGCAGAGTGTTAGAAACTGAGCTATGAAAGCCAGGAGCTAAATGGTACCTCAGAGCTAGGTTATGGGTGCAACGATGGAATGTATAGGTGCACTTTTTTTATAACAAGAATAAAAAGCTGAAAATGAATGAACTGCAGCTAAAATCTTGTGTTCATTTTTCACATGGTCTAGTCCTTCCCCTGCCTGCCCCCCTAATATTCTTAAGAGGGTCTCTTCTCCAGTCTTCAGAGAGTAGCTGGAAGTGGGGAGGCAGAAAAAGGTCCTCCTTTCCTTCCACTCTGCAGTTTTAAATTGAAATCTTGGGCACAGTACTGCACCCAGAGCTCCCTGTTGCAAAATGCGCCTAGAACAATGGGAGTTTCGAACACTGAGTGCATTATTAATTTGTGTAATTTTTGAATAGAGGCTACTTTTCCTTACAGATGTTCTTAGCCGGATTGCCACCACCCTTTGTTTTAATGAGATTTAAAGCTAAAGAAAGGCTCTTCAACTTGTCCATGGGGACTTCCTCGAGTCATCATTGGCGTTTCGCATGACTCCTCGTACAAAACTGAGACAAACAGACACGAGAAACCAAGACGGATCGGGCCCAAACAAATCAATGGAAAAGGCTCGGAGTAATTTAAAGTGCCTGGGCCAATGAGAGAGGGAGGAGGCAGAGTGAAGATTCTATCAAAGGAAACAGCTTCAGAAAGAGAAAAGGACACGACTGATCACAAAACCGACCATCAACAGGAAGGGGACTGGGTGCACAGCTTCCTGCACTCTGCTCTGGGGGAGCAAATGATCCTGGTTCAGTAACAACAAAGACATAAAGCTGGGAGGAGCCAAGGAGGGATGCAAAGCTCTGCTGGAAATTACCCATGCCTCCTCTCTAAGGAGATCTATTTTTGAGAGTCACAGAGGAGGAGGAGGAGGAGGAGGAGGAGGAGGAGGAGGAGGAGGAAGAAGAAGAAGAAGAAGAAGAAGAAGAAGAAGAAGAAGAAGAGGAGGAGGAGGAGGAGCAGCTCTACGGCCTTCTACATAGATACGCTAGGAGGAGGGAGGACTTGACTAGGCAGCATCAAAGTTACTTAGATCACAAAAGCATGGATATACTATGCAGTAAGAGATGCTGAAGGAGCAAACCCTTGTTTAACTTGAATGGATTTCAGAATGCTTAAATCACAATTTGCAATTCATAATTCTGGGCATACAAATGACAAAAAGAAAAATCCTTTGTGTAAAAGAATTAATATGCTTTTTTCATTCTTATTCCACGTAATGAAGCCGTGTAATACAAACAGAAGCAGGCCTTATAAACACATTCTTCCAAAGGGGGTCCCAGCATTTTGGAAGTCATATTTCATGTCAGTAAGTACTTCAGGGTCCAGCATTATCAAAACATTGGCAGGGTCTTTTCTAGATTGTCACTCTATTGACTTCCCCCAGTTGAGAGCCAGTGTGGTGTAGTGGTTAAGAGTGGTAGTCTCATAATCTGGGAAACCGGGTTCGAGTCTCCGCTCCTCCACATGCAGCTGCTGGGTGACCTTGGGCCAGTCACACTTCTTTGAAGTCTCTCAGCCCCACTCACCTTACAGAGTGTTTGTTGTGGGGGAGGAAGGGAAAGGAGAATGTTAGCCGCTTTGAGACTCCTTAAAGGGAGTGAAAGGCGGGATATCAAATCCAAACTCTCCTCCTCCTCCTCCTCCTCCTCCTCCTCCTCCTCCTCCTCCTCCTCCTCCTCCTCCTCCTCCTTCTTCTTCTTCTTCTTCTTCTTCTTCTTCTTCTCATGTGTGAAGAAAGCAATTCTTCACGCGGTGCATAGTTACACTATAGAACAGGCATGGGCAAACTCGGCCCTCCAGATGTTTGGGGACTACAATTCCCATCATCCCTGACCACTGGTCCTGTTAGCTAGGGATCATGGGAGCTGTAGTCCCAAAACATCTGGAGGGCCAAGTCTGCCTATGCCTACTATAGAATATACTGCCACAAGAGGCAGGGGTGGCCAACTCTTGATGGCTTTAAAATAGGATTAGATTACCGTATTTTTCGCACCATAGGACACACTTTTTCCTTCCTAAAAAGCAAGGGAAAATGTGTGTGCGTCCTATGGAGCGAATGCAGGGGGGAGGCAGGCGGGAAAAGCCCCCAAGAGCCACACACAAGCTCCGTGCGCTCTTGCGGGCTTTTCCACAGGAGGGAGAAGGGACTGACTGGCCGCCATCAGTCCCTTCTCCCACCTCCCAGAAAAGCCAGGAGGAGCCGTGATCTCTTTAAAGGGGTTGCGCGGCTTCTGCGGGCTTTTGGGAGAGGTGAGGGAATCCCCCCACCTCCCAGTAAAGCCAGGAAAGCCCTGCGCAGCGTCTCCGGCAAGGAGAGGCTGCACGGGGCTAAAGGGGAAGCCAAAACAGCAAGCGGGATCCATCCTGTTCGCTGCCTTGGCTTGTGTCATAGCCGCGCGCAACCCCTCCGGCAGGGAGAGGTTGTGCTCAGCGTGTACGCTGCTCTTTGGGGCTGGGTGGGGGGAAGATTTTTTTTCTTGATTCCCCCCCCCCTCTAAAAACTGGGTGCGCCCTATGGTCCGGTGCGCCCTATGGTGCGAAAAATACGGTAATTCATGAAGGAAACGGCTAACTATGGCAAACTTCTCTTATGGGCATTTCTACAGCAGTGAAATGTTGCACAACAGGAAAAACGAATGCCTTTAACCAATTCTCTCTCATGCCACACACAAACTATGCATTTTTAAGATTCAAAGACCGAACGAGAGGTAAGGAAGACTATGAAATGGGTCCTCCATCCTTCCTCCTCTCTCAAGCACTTACCTGTGTGAGGATGTAGCTCCTGTTCGCCTCTTCCATTTTTATCAAACTGGCATTGATATAGTCATTATCATCCTGCTGCAGCTTAATTCGACTGTGGTCAACTGTAGAATGCACAGTTAAGAAAATCACTGTGTGTTATTCATTTTATGTGAAGCAGCTTATTCAAAAAGAAGGGCTAACATCTTTCAATTCAAAATAATGAAATATGGGACAGCACCCATTATATACGATTCTCAAGAACTCTTCTGAAAAGAGTGTGTGACTGATGCTTAATAAGATGTGTTACTAACAACAACTTAGTTTGCATGTCATGTTAGTGCCAGTGTGGTGTAGTGGTTAAGAGCGGTGGACTTGTAAAAAGGAGAATATTAGCTGCTTTGAGACTCCTTCGGGAAGTGATAAAGCAGGATATCAAATCCAAACTCTTCTTCTTCTTCTTCTTCTTCTTCTTCTTCTTCTTCTTCTTCTTCTTCTTCTTCTCCTCCCATAATTAAAATAAGCTATGGTTCAATGTGAACAAGCATAGGCTCATGCTGGTGTACACTGCTGATATTGTGGGTGCTTTGACCTTTCCCACTCCTGCTGTGCTGGAGGGGAGACAAGCCACAGTTTGACTTGTAACATGCAAACCTGGGCTTGAGGTTTGTTTCCCGCAAGCTAACCACAAGTGGTAAGTGAAGAATAAACCTTGGCTTCAGCTTGTGGTTTGTTTGGAGAAACAAACCATGAATCCAGCTTGGGATGTAACAAGAAGCCAGACTACAACGTGTCTACTTTCTGGTACAGTTCATACTGATGAAATCATGGGCGTCCATTATTTCATCAGAATGAACTAGCATGCTGATCAGACACATAAAACCATAGTTTAACTATAGTTTAATGTAGTGTGCAAGCTGGACTAAAAGAAATGTTATGTTCGCATTTTCACTTTCAATCAAGATAGATATAAGCAGACCTATACCAGGCTGAAGTTGTATGCTTATTTTTAAAGCTGTCACATATTTTCAGAAGAGATCGGAATCTCAATAGTTCCAAAACATAATCCTTCACCTGCACTGTTGCGTATCTTTTATTCAATTAATGTTTCACCCAGCTATTATCAATAGTCAAGCCACTTTGACAGTATCTGCACTTTGTTTCAAAAGATCTGAAGTTTGCTCTATTTAGCCTACCCAGATATAGAAGAATCCCTACATTTTACAGGAAAACCAAACTGACTGGAAGCTGTTTCATCTAAAACAAACAAAAATCAATGGTGGTTACCACAAAAAGAACCCCTAAAACTGATCAGTAAGCAAAATTATGTGCAACATTATAGCTTCTATTGAGTTTTCCTGGAAGACTCAGCTGATTTTTAGTCTATTAAGTGATGGTAGAGATTTTCCAGTACATGGTGATACCGTATCTTCAACATTAATGTAGATAGGAGATCTGTGACTGAATGCACATGACTTTTTTTAAAAAAAATCCTCATGAGATTCAGGTGGTCATTATGACACACTTGGGAGTTGAACAGCTAGAAAAGTTCACCACGGCTTGTTTGAGAGCCAGTGCAGTCAACGTGGAGACCATCCTGGATTTGAATCAGGGAGACTTAATTGCAAATCCCCACTCATCCACCTCTTAGCCAAACAGGCCCCATAGGGTGGTTGCGATGATAAATTGAGATAACCCAATGCACGTGGTCCTGAGCTTTCTGGAGAAGAGGTGGGTAACAAATGGAATTCACTGCTATGAACTGTGGCAACAGCCACTAGCTTAGATGGCTCTAAAGCCAATTAGACAAATTCACGTAGGACAAGGCTATTCATGGTTACATGGTACAGCCAGGTCTAGATGCAAGATTCCTCTTAAGATCAGTTGGTGAGGTAGAAAAGCAAGATGGTGCTTCTGTATGCGTCCAGTGCTTGTGGGCATCCTGCAGGCACTGGTTAGTTACTCTGCAAAACAGAATGCTGGGCGAGAAGGCAAAGCGTTTTTACGTGATTAAACAGGAAATCACCCAGCTTTTAAACTAGATATTAAAAATGAGAGAGACTGAGCAACGGCAGTTCTTCGCTTGATTTCTAAAAAGCCAACTGTCTGTGCTCATTGCTTGCCTCGGAACCCAAACCCACCAGTCCATTCTGGAAGACTTTGCTTAGTGCATGGAAACAGGCTGAGCTTACTCAACAAGGAAAAGAAAACACAACCTTCATAAGCTCACAGACACTTCTCTTTCACCACTGCAGGCATTCCAGGACGAAGGTCTGATACTGGAAAATGCCATTCCAAGGTTGAACCCTTGCAAAGTTTATCACCGGCATGTAGAGAAAGCGGGGCATTTGAAAGGTTTGGGGGGGGGGAGATGAGCAAGGTGGACATACTGCAAGTTCTCTACAGCTTTGGGACAAACTGGACTCCATCTCTGCTTGCCCGAGTTGCGAATTTCTCTGCTTTGCATGTCTGTGCCCAATTACAATGCTGGAGGACCAGCGGTAATATTTTGGCATATTATCAAAATAGCAGCAGCAGGGTGTTGTTGTTTTAAAGTTGCACGCACATTGGAAACAATACAGTTTTACTTTGAATTGTTTGGCATTGCATCTGCACTACTCCACCCTTTTGTAAAGACTCCTTGAATGTATTGAGAGGGATACAGTACTTACATGGGCTGACATCTCTGTATCTGTTGCGATTTTTGTTTCTGGGAAGTTTGGCCACTTTACATGGAAAGTCACTGGCTTCATGCCTTATGTCCTAGAAGGAAATAAATTAAGAAATTTAGCTGTGCTGTAAATCTACATGGCGGTCTCAGTTCGTTCACTGTACATTATTATTATTATTATTATTATTATTATTATTATTATTGCTTTCTTTTGGTTGGTTCAGGAATAAAAAACACTGAAAGCTTATGGCTTATCACAGTGCTTGATTCTGTTTTGTGGAGTCTGCAAAGAAACCATTAAAACCATTGTTTCCAGTTTTTAGATTGAATCACCCACGGAGAATCCTTGCCATGTTCAATCTTACATTAGAGGCTGAGCAATATGTATATATATATACATACGACGTCACCGAAAAATGATTTTGCACAGTAAGGATTTTAGGATAGAGACCATGTTATTTGCCAGATTTCATTTGTGTGACATACAGGAGAAAGCACAATTTCACTTCCAGACCACGATTACCAGTAGTGGGTCTTGTATTACTTGCAAAATAAGTAGATAAGCAGGGATATCTCTGCCAGAACACATTTGTCCTTTGGTATCCTACATGCCACCATTTCGTAAATACGTATTAATAGCGAAGGGCTGCACATGTCTGGTTAAGATAAGAACCCAAGTTTTCTTGAGTCATCAGCGCCACGGGCTGGAGCCATAGATTTCAAAAGAATCCTTTGCATGTAGTGTGTTCTGTGCACCAAGTCAGCAGTACAGTTTAGAAACAACGAACTTAAAAGATTTTTGTGCTGCCTTATTATAAAACCAAACCTGACTGAAACTGGATTGCACTATGTAGAAATGAAGTGTGGATTAAAAATATTAAGTAAATCAACCATTTTTTAAAAATGACAGGGACTTGGTATAGGAAACGCACAGCATTAGAAAAATACAGAAGACCTGGTATAGATTCAGAAACTGAAATACACATTGCTGGGTTTTAACTTGAAGCAGTATGAAAAAACAAGATTGAATAAAAAAACTTAAAGTTCCAGGAGAGGGATCTTCCTTGCATATGCAAAATGAACAGTAAAGCTCAGCTTAAATGGTCATCCAAGAAAATTAAACAAATTTGGCTGGGCCAAATGCATCATTTTTGAATAGGCTTGGAGTGAAGCCATTTTTTATATTTATTTTGTTAACTAAATAAATATAAGACTTACATGAACACCATGCAAGTTCACTTTGTTTTCTGTACTCAATTTAGACATAATAAGAGAGTTAGTGCCAGATCCTAGTGATTTCTTTTTTCAGGAACACACACACACACACACACACACACACACACACACACACCCACTGGCAGAATATACACAGTTCTGCCAAGTACTAAACTTGCAAGTGGCCTCGTAAACCCTCTTGCATTCCGAGTGTATTCTGACTTTGTATAACATTTCCCAGCACATGGTAGAATAAGTCCTCCAGTGTTAGAACTATTGCTGAACTAAAGAGACTACAGTGTAATTGCTTCTGAAGAAACTTTCCTTGGGCCCAGAAGATGTTCACGAACAGATGTCCAATGGAGGCTAACATTCCCTTCCTGGATGCAGAGTAGCCAGTCAACTTCTAGACTTTCTAGATTTATTTTTGGAAGAAAAACTCCTTTGTCCACTCCTACAGATGACATGGGCAGTACAACACCGTTGATTCTCCTGGACCTCTTTGTGGCTTTTTATGCCATCAGCTATAGTACGTTTTTAGAGAGGCTGATCATGTTGGGTCTTGGTGGATGCTCCATTTTGGCTGCTCCACTCATACTTGGATGGCTGACTCAAGAAGATGGGATTTCCTCAACATTTATACTCGGGGATCCCACAGCACTCTACAGCCGTACCTTGAAAGCCAAACGCCTTGGCACTCGTACGTTTTGGCTCCTGAACTTTTTTTAAAAACAGGGTAGCCTATAAATACTGCAAAATGAAACAAAAACCAGAGCATGGAATTTCCAATTCCCCAGCCATAACGAATGCCTATGGAGCCACACCTGTCTTTGCCCCCAACCACAATAGTCTACTTCTGCATCAACTTCTGCAATAAAACACTTCATCTTGGAACTGTCAGTACAGATGCTTTGAGAGGTGAAACTACTGGTGTTCCTCTTGAGAAGGACATCTAGCTACACCCTTTGTGACAGGCAGGGGAACCAAAACTGTACACTGAGTTTTCTGTTCTTATGAAACGTCTCAATGGCACTGAGCTCATTAAGCAAAGTTCTAGTCACAAGTGGCCAACTTCTGCAGGAGCTGGAAACATCACCCCTCCCACGTGGTAAGACTGAAAGAAAGCCCATGCATGTACTCTGACATCAGTGAAAGGGGAGGAGGCTGTGGAATGGATGTGTTTTCCGAGAGATCTCAAGAGACAGATTGGCATCAACTCACTTCCTTCCAAGAATGAGCATGACCGACATTTATACAGAGCGTGCAGGATGATTCATTGCTTCTTCTAGATACACTTTTACTGTGAAAAAAAAACCCCAACCTTCTTGATTCAAGTATGGAGAAAGCCCTGCTCCAGGTGCCCCCACCAGGTGAAGTGAGGTGGGTGGTCACTACAGAAAATGCCATCTTGATGCAGGTACCAACCTGGCTGTGGAATTCCCTCCCTCCTGGTACCTTCTTTATGGTTGTCCTGGAACCTGGCGAAGACTCTCTTTTTCTCCCAACAACATCTGGAGGGGAACCACATTGCCTACCCATTTGAACTGCATTTTATCATTTATATGTCTTGCCCAGAAGACAAGGTTAAGACTGGTGGCCTAGTAGTTATAGTGCCAGGCTAGGACCCAGGAGAGAGGGGGCACATTCTAGTAGTGGGTATGGCGAGAGACAGAAGTATGTGTAGCAATAGGCGCAAATATTACCTCTGTACAGTGGACACACACCTGCGCACACTTAACCTCCATCCAGAGAAGCAAGATGCATTATAGCCCGAAAAGAAAATGGTGAGGATTGTGGCCTGGGAAGAGACAGTGTTGCTGAGGAGCGAGGGTGGCCTATAGGGGGAGTCCTGAAAGCCAGATTGAGAAGGGTATTCTCTCTCCCAGTCTGAGAGTCCCCACTCCTGTTGTGCAGTATATCAAGGACAAAACTTACACTAGAGCAATAATAATAATAATAATAATAATAATAATAATAATAATAATAAAATATGACAACAGGATTTGGGTTACTGCGGTGCAAATGTTTTTGTGCAGAGTGTAGACACTTGTTCGCTGTCCGATATCCCTCCCTGTTTAGAATAATTCTTCAGCCCGACTGTAAAAGTAGCAGTGGTCAAACATCACAGAATCGTGCTGTTAAAAGAGATCTGAGATAAGCAGACACTGATGTAACTGAATGCAGATGACGTGCAGGGAACAAAAATAGAGCTTAGGGCTCGCTGAAGTGGCAACCTTTTGTCTGGGTAGTACCACTCCCAAGTCTTCAGGTGGGAGGGGTCTCACATGACTGAGTGCTCCTTCATAGAGGAATGACTATATATACACTGGGTATACATAATCAATAATAACATATTTAAATCAAGCATATGTACAATTCTATATACCTTAACACTCCTCCCTCCACAAGGTTTATTTAACTTTTAACATTTTAATTGCCCCAAATTGTTCAAACTTGCCCAAATAGCTTCTCAAATCAATCCTCCTCCTTCTCATTGACCTTATACCCTTTCATTTTATGTATCTTCACAGTTAGATATTTTAAGATTATAATATTTTCCTGTTTCCCCCTCCATTGGTTCAATGGGAGAGGGACATACAGTGGTACCTCGCAAGACGAATGCCTCGCAAGACAAAAAACTCGCTAGACGAAAGGTTTTTTCCGTTTTCGATTTGCCTCGCAAGACGAATTTCCCCTATGGGCTTGCTTCGCAAGACGAAAACGTCTCGCGACTTTGTTTTCTTTGTCTAAAAACAAAGACATGTTTTGTTTAGAAAGTTAATTTATTTTCCCTTCAGTTTTTGAACTGCTCTTTACAGTATGTGTGACTTTAAAGAGCAGTTAATAAACTGTTGTTGTACCAAATTTGGCTTTGTTTGGACTTTTTTTGACCATAGGAACACATTAATTGATTTTCAATGCATTCCTATGGGATTTCGTGCTTCGCAAGATGAAAAATTCGCTAGACGACAAAAATTGCGGAACGAATTAATTTCGTCTTGCGGGGCACCACTGTATATATATGAAAACTGGATGCCAGGGGAAACCTAGCCTAGTTCCGCCCCCCTGCAGATGGATTTTTCATTTTGATTTTGATTTCCGTACGGAGGAGCACTGAAACGCTACAAGCCCCCACTAGCAGCCTGAAGCAGCCCAGACGCAGGTTCACCACTTACTCCCACTGGAAACAGCCCCGTCATTCCAAGAAATAGGTGGCATTTCGAATAAACCCCAAGTAGAAAGAAGAAAACCTCGAGAGGAAGAACCTCAACAACACAAGATTTCCAATGTTAAATACTTAATGTGCTTTAAGCATGAGTCACAATAATCTCATGTGCTTGAATCGTTCAGGGGGAAAAACAGACATGGCAGCAAAGTGCAGCTTGTGAATGGGGGGGGGGGGAGGAGGAGGTGACAGATCACTATCCCCCACCTTTCCAGAAAATCTCAACTGAATAGCTTCCCGTTTCTTTCATGAATAAGAAGCCTGATTAAAGCTGCACGAGGGTGAAGATTCATCCCTGGTCTACATGAACCTAAGGGGAACAGGCACGACTTTGTCTTGCTAGAGTCGCTATACCAAATCCTCATCAAATGATTAGGTATTGTACAAAGTATATTGGTGCTAAAATGGGTTGCTCTGTATGGAAACTGCTCCTCCCACGGCGCCCTGCGGTGCTCACTTCCATCTCCTCTGTTCTTCTGCATTAGGCCACTGAAATGATTGCTGTATTTTTCGCTCTGTATGATGCACCTGACCATAAGACGCACGTAGTTTTTAGACGGAATAGTGGATGTATGCTTTTTGTGGTACATGCTGTGGCCACACATATGTGATTTGACAGTGAATTTGGTGACCCAATGTAAAAATCCTGAG